GGCACTGAATTAGTTGCCGAGATTACAAAGGTAGAAGATTATGTCTGGCTAGACTAAGTCCACTGAGGGCAAGAATTCTGTTTTCTTCATCTTTGCTTCCCAATATCCTGAACTTAGTGGACACTCAGTGGGAAAAATTTGTGTTTTTAGTTTTTGTTATGATTATGAAAGTAATATGTTGCTTGTGAAACATTTCTAAAGTATGGAAAACTACAGAAAAGACACTAAAACAGAAGCCAGCTATAATTACATATTCACACACACCTATGGTTAATACCTTGACAATGAAGGTGTTCAAATCAGAAAACCTCATGGCTCTCAGAGTTGGTCTTGTTGGGATGCCCCCACTCTGAAATGCAGACTATTTTGAAATGAAGACGATGGAGTCCCTAGAGGTTAAGGACAAACTCTTACTTTTCTTCTAATCCCTTTGCCTTACACCTAAGCAACAATATGATCACTACTCCCCCTCAAAGCCTAGAAGAATTAAGTTTGGTGGGTATTCCAGAAGTAGACATATCAGTAAACATGTCTTCTCTGAGAAACACTTCTTTCCCTTTAGAGTAAAGATGAGGGCATTCCCTCCATGGTGTGTAATTCCCCCTCATCTCTCTTTGGTGTCCCAGCTCCCTTATCTCATTTCCTCATTTAGGATTTAAACCCTTTAATCCCTGACTGAAAGCAGGACCTGCCTAACTCTTGTAGTCTGCCTCCTCCGCACCCTTCCATGTATTAATTAAATGGACTTTTCCTTTGCTAATCTATCTGATGCTGTTTTGATTACCCAAGCAGCCCTAGAAGAATCTAGAGGAGAAGTGAATTTTCCCTCGCATTTCAAAAACTTATTTCCCTTTAAAATTTTCATGCTTTTTAATGCCTTTCATGGTTTATTTATGCACTCATTCATCATTTGCTTAATTATGTGGCATACTAGCTGACCCTAGACCTGAGGCATACAGCGGAGGAGGGGGAAGGAGAGGGCACAAAACAGGGGTGGGAAGAGCACAGGGGACTGTGGTGATGGATCATATGGGTGCTATGGTGGTGGGAGAACTAATGGACCACACCAGAGGGGAGAAGTCAAATACTATCCAAAAATTAACAAAGATGTAAGAAAAGAAATAAATAAAACTTTAAATCTAAATAATAATAATATTGCATATTATTTTTCAATACTTGCATTATCAGCATCTTATGTTATTAAAAATAATTCCTAGACACTGTTTTTAAAGGCTGTATTAACATTCTTTCATAAGTACACACCATCATTTATTTAACTGTTTCCATACTTATTTTTTTAAATGTGGTTAAAAAAAAAACCCACCGGACCTTAAAATTGACCATCTTAACCATTTTTAAGTGGATAGTTCTAGAGTGTTTGTTGGTTATTTTAAGTTGCCTGTTTCATGGGTGAGAAATGCTTTGTTGTACAAGGAGTGTAGATAATCCTACTCAAATTCCTAGAGAGGAGATGTGTGGACGTTGCATTCAGCTGAAAATAGAACAGGTGCCACCTTGAGGTTAGAGTTAACCTGAGTTTGAATATTTTTACTGTCTTTTTCATTTAAGAACTCCACAAATCAAGAACACTCATTCTTAACTAATCAATGAGGTAAGATGAACCTCCTTTCCACAACAACACCCTGACTCCCATCCTCCTTCGAATTTGAGTGCCTCGCACCCTCTTTTGTAGTGTCTGGGGTGCCAGGTAGACTGCCACGCTGGGACTCTTTCCACTTTCAGCTGGGCTCCAATATCCTGATTTGCTGATGGAGTCATGAGTTCTACTGTAGTTTCAATAGTTAAAACATTCCTTCATGATTTCCTCTAGATTTAATAAGAGTGGTATCCAGTGTATTGTTGGAATTTGGATATTAGAAAATCTGTCGCGGGCAGGACCAGGGGCCCAGGCAGAAGGTTGACTCCACGTAAGGGCAGGGCCTGGAGACCACCTTCCACAGCAAGAGAAAATCGGGCTTTTCATCTCTGGCCATAGACGCACTGCAGGTCTCAAACCTGGACTAGTTTTGCCTCCGATGTCACTTTTAATTTCTTCTTTCACTTTCTGGCCTAAAATCCTTCCTCATCACTGCAGCCAGAGAACTTCCCAGACAATTTGCTTTAACTTGAGAATTAGTATTTTTCAAATTGATGAATACATAAAAATGATGTTAACTTTGTCCAATATGATCTTATCAATATTTTTCCAATTTGCTTTAATGTTACGATTTTTGATATGCAGGAGTTTTTAAAAATTTATGTAGCAAAATCTATTTTATTTTATCTTCAATTCTCTATCCATTAAGTAAACGCCTGTATTTTTTCCAGATTTTCATTCATTTAATTTTTTTTACACTTGATTCTTTAATCTATTAAGGATTAATATGGTAGATAAATGATGCCTATTCATGACATCAAATGCTTCAGAAAGAATCACTTAATACTAATAATTTGCCATGTATTTCATCAAATTAATGGAGTCAGAGTAAGTTTTAGAAGTTCATTGTATTGAATTTGAAATATCTGACGTTATAGTGAATGTCACCACAAATAGAGCTCAAAAGTTTAACGTTTAAGATAAAATTATTTGTTTGTGTAATAGTGGTACAAATACAAATTTTGGAAAGGCACAGTAACATAGCAACAACAATATTAAATTAGGAAACTATGGAACAGAAATGTATTTGGAATTTGTTATGTGCATGCATAATTCATAATTTTGGGTTCAAACAAGCAGCAGTACCCTATGGATAAAAATAGAAGTTGAAGTGTTTTTTTTTTTAAAGAATTTGGTATATTTTATTTTTTTCCATTTTTACCAGTTTTCTAGCTTGTCAGTTGTCTTTGTACCAGTTTTGAATAATTTATTCTTTTCTTGATAATTTGTAATGCACCTTTATCATATGGCACAATTTTATAAACATTTGGTTTTTTTTCTGGGCTATCTGTTTTATTTCCTTGATATATATTTCCTTGTGTTTTTGTATTTGGGAGGTAATATTTCCCCTGAGCACTCTTCCAAAAATTTCTCAGATGGTCATGTGTATTTGTTCTTTCAGACACCCTTTAGGATTATTTTTGAAGTTCCTAAAATATCTCACTGAAATATTAATTTTAATTGTATTAAGGGAGTACATTAATTTGGTAAGAATGGCAAGTTCCCAGCATTCATTCTACACATTCACGAACACAGCATGTCTCCATTCAAGTCTCAATAAAATAAAATAATTTTCTTACTTGGACTTTATACTTTTCTAATTAAAAATATTTCTAGGTATTTTTATGCCTATTAGGAATCGCTTTTTGTTCCCCCCAGTATATTTTCTAGCTGCTTATTTCTAATATAGGATAAAGCTTCTTGATTTAAGGACACGTCTTATGGGCCTCCACAATAATGGAGCCTCTTAAGTTTAAGAATTTTCAGTTATTTCTCTTTGATTTGAAAATGGAGCATTATTTATGTGCTCATCGTAATACTGATAATTTTGTCAGCTTTCTAACAGTTTTACTTCTCATCTATATTTTATGACTATATTTACTACAACTTTCCCCCAAAAGTTGGAAAGTTGCTAAAACATATCCATAAAATTTCTGGATACTTCCGATGTTTCACTCTAACTTGCAATGTAACACTGTCTGTTAGTCTGAGATTAATATTCATAAGCAAGTTCAGGAAGGTCACCAAACCTTGAAAGTAGTTTTTAAAATTCAACTATCTTCAATTTAATCTTTGATTTAATCTTCAATTTTATTGACCTACCTGGTATTGAACTTACTGAAAAGATAATCATTTGTTTACTTCTTGCCTGTTTACAAAGATTTTAAAAAAACCACCTCTTACTATTACGAAATATAAAGCACCCACACAGACAGTAAGAGAAGTTGAGAGCACATCCTTACTTTTTATACATAGTAAAAACTTAAAAATCATGTTATATTTAGGAGTTGAATAACTCCAGTGTTTATGTATCAAACATAACATTTTCACCATTCAAGGAATTACAAGGTATTTTAACTTCAATGAGTAGTTAACAAAAGCCTGTTACATGCAAGAAAGCACTTGACTGAGCAGCACTACAATTAAAAATATAAGCAAGGTAAGCCTCCCAGAGGCTTGAAGTTTTATAGCAGGAGGATCTTGAAATGACAGTTTGTCAAGGTGTTAGATCAAAGGTTATTTTGAAAAATATTTAGTAGTGAAAGTTTGCACTTTGGGATAATTATTTTTAGGAGGTGAGGCCATCAAGCAGCACATCAAAAAAAAAACTAGTTGCTGCCTGTTTCTGTGAGTCCTGGTTCCCTCTGAGTGTGGGAAAGGGTCAGTAGCTTATTACTGTGCTGCTCTCAGAGAAGTGACTTTCCATGAAAACATGCTGTGTCCGGGGGTAACTTCTTGCTATGTTATTATCTCAGCATGTTAAAGCACAAGACACACAGCTGACATTTATTTTCAGAACTTATTGTAATATTAACATATTAACCACGAGTGCCTTTTCTCTTCTGTGCTTCTCATTCAAGGGACTGAGATTCTGCAATTGCTGTCCATAAGCTGCCTACCGCATTAGAAAGGTATATATTGTTGGAAAACTGTTGGAAAAGTCTCTCCAGACTGTTGACTTGGACAGTCTTCTTATTGAGTGTTAATCCCTTTTAGCTACGAGGCTCACAAACCATCTTTACCAATATAACTGGTTTGCACAGTTTTTCCCATTCTTTGTTTACCTGAAACTATCTCTTAAGACAGTCTTAGGAAACAGAGCCTTTATCATGTGCTAAAAAGAGCGTTGCAAATGTGGAACATTCAGTATGCTGTGAGGTCTGCCCCTGGACCTTAGTTTCCTTCTTAAATGCTAAGAAATACCTTAGTTTCCTTCTTAAATGCTGACAGGTCATATGAGCCAGGCTACTTGATCACTGACTGTATTTCACTTCAAAAAACTATTAATAAATATCTGCTCATTCCTCTCAAAGGAGTGTATAAAAATTCCTGGATAGGAATACTGCATATAATTATTTCTTTACAGCTATATATGAATTTACTTCAAAAATAACTACAATTTTGAATGTGCTGGTTCACGTATACACACACACACACACAAACATGCACGCACTGCTGTCACCTGATAGTTGTGCTAACACAATGATATTCTTTTATCTGGATAGCAGTTGTATGTTTGGAAATGAGTGTTAATCTATATCTGGATTTACCAGTCCTTGACCAATACATTTTCAAAAAAATCTTACAAACTAATTTGTAAGGAGGACTCTCTAGAAAAGGTTTGTTTTTAAAAATGAGATTCTTTGGAAGAGTTATCTGGAGTTTGTTGCATTTTAAGCATTTCTCAATAGCAAGGTCCATAATAGTGTTAATTGTTAGAGTAAGTCCATTTCATCAGGAAAGAGTTTGGTTTCTTCACAGAGTCTTACATGTCTATTTTTGCAGGTGACCAAATGGGATGGAAATTTTATCAGAATGGAGTTACTATGACTTTGGGATTTTCATCTTTCTCCATTGACTCTCTTGTTTTTTCCTCAGATCTGAACCTGCAAATAAGACAGTTGCTAAAGAAGATGACATACTCCAGAATCTCCTCCTCAAAATGGCATACTGATACTGAGAAACATTTCTCCAGTCAATGAACAAATACTTTTAACTCCCATAAGAACCCTCTGTGTCTAGATCTAGTATTTTGATTTTGACTATTTTGAGCCATTTTCTCCATTAAACATACACAAAACCCAGAACTGAAACTCTTTTGCTGTGTCACTGAAGAAAGGATAGAGTGGTAAACGTGAAGTTCTTGGCATGTTAAAGTTGATATTGAAGTGGTTATATCATTAGAAAAATCAAACTACCTACTGAGTTGTTTTTTCCTACTGACTGCTGAAGAGTTTGCCACACATGTCCTGCGAAGTAGCCAAATCCATTCACAGAGAGACTTACCTTTACCATGCCCAGGCACTGAATCTTATGTAACTACCCAATAGCCATATACACTATTCCCATAGAACAGATGGAAATATTGTGACTTAGTGACAATTCAGTAACTTGCCCCAAGTTATACAGAAGATTTGGGGTTTGAAGTCAAGTAGTTTCATTCTACAAGCTAAATTTCCCCTAGCATGCCGTTTATCTTTTAAATGTTTGGCAATCTGGTATCATTGAAAGACACTGGTTTTTCCTCCCTGGTTCATGATATACATTGCTAATTTCATAAATTATTGCTAATTTCATGACACAAATTGCTAATTTCCTTGCAATTTCCTAAGTTGTGGAGGTAGTAGGAGGGTCTTGTCTTTTCTTCTAATGAGGTGCCTCTTAGTGGGCCCCTAGAAAGCTTCAGATTGGGGATGGTCACCAGGAAGACCAAACCTAGGTTGGAACTTTCAGCCCCACTTCCCAGCCTCCAGAGAGGGGAGAAGATTGGAGGTGAAATTAATAATTGATCATGCTTCTTTGGTGAAGGCTTCATTAAAAAAGAAAAGAAAACCTAAACAACTGGGTGTGGAGAGCTTCCAAATTGGCAAACACATTCAAGTGTGGGTATGGTAGTGCTCCCCAGGTCCACAGGGACAGAGCCTTTGCACTCTGGACCTTTCTGGATCTCACCTCTTCACTAAGCGTTCATGTGTATCCTTTACAATAAATCAGTAATAGTAAGAAGGTTCTCCTGAGTTCTGTGAGTCACTCTAGCAAATCACTGAACTTTATTTGAGGAAGGGGGTTGTGAAAACACTGAACTGTATAGCTAAGTTGGACAGAAATATGGACAACTTGGGGACCTGGTACTTGTGACTGGCATCTGAAGTGAGCACAGTCTTGACAGACTGAGCCCTGAAATCTATGGAGCCCAGTGCATTCCAGTAGTTAGTGTGACAACTGAAGTAAAATACAGGATACCTAGATGGTATCAGAATTGATTGGTGTCAGGAAGAAAAATCCTCATACAATCTCACAGCACCCCCCCAAAAAATATTGTTTTACATTGTATTTCTTTATTAATAATGCAAAACAGATTTTTTTTCTGTGTAGCTGAAATTTCCTTACCTGTAAACTGCTGTTCATGCCCTTCACTAGTTTACCTACTAAGCTCTTGTTTTTTGCTACTGATTGCTGAAGAGTTTTTTGTGTATTAAGTGTACTAATCCTTTACCTGCATTGTATCACAACAATTTCCCCCCTGGCTTGTTGACCTTTGTCTTTATTTATAGTTTCTTTTTTTGCTGTGCCAACAATATCTAAAATTATATAACCAGAAATACCAATCTTTTCCTTTATGCCTTTTGTTTTTGAAATTGTGCTCAGAAAGACCTTATCTGAGGTTATAAAAATATTTATTTTTTCTCTGCTACATTTGTGATTTTATATCTTTAAACCTAGCTTTTTAATATTTCTGGAAAGTATATCTTGATATACTTTAAAATAGAATTGAAGTTTTTTTCAAATTTATTTATCCAAAATGGCTGGTTAAATGTTCTAGTACCTTTTTTTTTCTGAATAACCCACCTTTCCCCCACAGTATCATATACTGAGTTATCAGTTTTCTTGGGTTTAATTCTAAGCTCTGTTTCATTGGTTTCTATTCCTATGTCATACATCACACTGTTTTCACTACCATTACTTAATAATATGCATTATTGTCTGATAGAGCAATTTTCTATTTCTTTTTCAGAACAATGCTAGCTATTCTTGAATGTTTATTCTTTCTGAGGAATTCTGGTATCATTTTTAAAAGTTCCACTTACCCTTTCACATTCTGCATCTGCTCCAAGTTTTCTGGCAGAGTCACTCCAAAACTTTCAGGGAAAAATAGAGTGATGATGCCAATCAGGACAGTGAGACTGCCCATGAGGATGTAGGGTAGGATTTTGTTGTAAGCACCTGTAAGTCATGGGGCATAAGAGCGTCAATTAGATATAGAGGTTCTACAGATGCTTTTGAGAATCACTTTTGTAAAGGTGGTAAATGATATTTGACAGCAGCTGTAAATCTGAAACATTTTTCTGAAGAAAAAAGTATACAAAATCTTGTCATTTCTTTTTTGGCAGATGTCACTGACTCTGCAGTTCCATAACCATTGCCCACTTGATTTTGTATTAGCATGAGGTCTTTTGTGTCCATCAGTATTCTCCAAACTATTACTTAGTGTTGTATGACAGTTGGTCCTTTGATAGAAATATTTGCCTACCAAAGTTCTCCTCTTAAGGTGTAGGTAGTTGGAGATGGGAGCTGGGAGGACAAAGGAAAAGAGGTTGACCAGGATGTCACAGAGACAGGTTCTGGCCATTGTGACTGGTGTGACATTATTTCCTTTTGTCCAAACCAGCAGGCCATCGTGGGAAGCTAGGTCCGCAAAACCATGAGAATAAAAATTCTAAGTAATATGTTCAACCCAATTTAAATCAATAAATGTCAGTCATGGTGAAAGTAATATCAGACTTTGTTTTCTTTATGAAGAATTTATATGTCTGGGTTTTACAGATAACTTGAATAACCACTGCCCTCTTCTTTATCTAGGATTACTCATCTTGTCCCCCTTCTACATGCAGAGATCACAGAAGAATAATATGGCCAAGAATTTTATTTGACACAAGTCACTCATCTTGAAGCTTCTGTGAGACTTCTGTTTCTATTATGGCATAGAAAGTTCTGTCTTATACACCTGTTTCTTATGTACCAGTGGTCCACCACTGGACCACATGAGCATAATATCAAAGTGCAGGGGGAACAAAGGGCAATGACACCATTCTATATCATCATTGCTTTGTTAGGTGGTGTCCAGGTCAGACATGCAGAGTGTATTTAAGGTAAGAAAACATTTCTCCTCTGTAAGGATTTAGAGTATACCTTTTCTGAGAATTCATTTATGTCTTTGTGTGTGTGTGTGTGTGTGTGTGTGTGTGTGTGTGTGTAAGAGACAGAGAAAGAAGAATGAGAAGTATTTTTATATTTATGTTTGTATCTCTCACAAGTAGAATCCATAAAGAGAATTAGCTTGGAATGCCAGACCCTGTATCTATTAAACATTGAAGGTCTCCTGTGATATTATACAAGAGAGATAAATAGAAATATCAATATAAAAAATATTGCAAAACCAAAGTGAAAAGGTAAGCTAGGAAAAAAATCTACAAATGGATACAAAGGCCTAATTTCTTTCAGTTACGATGGTTTCACAAATAAGCGAAAGTTGATAAACCACTAGCAGGATGAGAACAGACATGAGCAGCCTAGTCATGGAACAATACACAGAATACAGAATGTCAATAAATATATTTAAAAAAATGTTCAACCTCATTCATAATTAAATAAAAATGAAAGCAATAACATCCATTTTTCACACAACAAATTATCAATGATAAAATAATTGGATAATCCCCTTTGTTGGTGAGGATATAGGTAAACAGGCTGTCTCATATACATTGATAGTTACGTTATAAGTTATTGCAATGACCAAAGGTCAATTTAGCAATATCTATGAAATATTTTAATTGCTCCAGTAATTTTACTTTTGTGACTCTAACCATGAATCATAACATACATAAAAAACAAACGCAAGGTAGAGAGGCAGAGGGGAATGTTCATTATAGTGTTCTTTGTAATAACAAAAGCCTGGAAATGGCCTACATGTTCATCCACTAAAATAAACTATGTATGTACAAATATCAGAACACTATGTACTAACTAAAAAGAAGATAAAAGGAGCCTTGTATAATACTGTGTAAAGATATGCTGATACATTGCTTTTAAAAAGTTGTGTAACAAGGGCCTCCCCTGGTGGCGCAGTGATTGAGCACTGGGTTGCGAGGCTGCCCGCAGCCTCTGCAGCGCCAGTTCGATCCCCGGCCACTGGCGAGGGTCCCACAAAAAAAAAACAAAAAAAAAAAAAAAACAGTTGTGGAACGATATATATAATTCTGTTTATGCATTTAAGAGATATATACATAAATATACACACATATATAACCTGTTATATGTATATACAGTATTATATGTGTGTATACTATGTATGTATATATACCATATATTAAATACACATACACACACACACGTATATATCAAAGCAAAATGTCTGAAGGACTATTCACCAAAATTAGTATCAGATATTTCTAGGGTTGTGATTTCAGGAGCTGAGAGAGAAGAGGCAAACTTGTCCATTTTCTAGTACTTTCTATGCTATTTGAATTTTTCAAAATGTAAATCTATTACTTTTATATCAAATAGAGAACAAACTGATAAGATGTATCTCACCCAGGTAAACAAAGTAGGGAGCAATGATGCTGCCCACTCTGGAGGCCATGGAGGTGACCCCCACAGCCATGTTCCTGACCAGGGTTGGGTAGAGCTCTGCGGTGAAAACGTACAGCATGGAGAATGCAGAAGTGATCCCGAATTTTCCTAACATCACCAGACCAATGGACAAGAAGTTGTAATCTGGAAAAGAGATACAGTGTAAACTGAGGTGCTTTTAGAAATGATGCTTGTTGTATGGGAATATTTTATAATAGAAAGTACTTCCCAAGGAACATGTTCTCTTCAAACGTTCAATATTTGGGCCTCCCCTGGTGGTGCAGGTTGTTGAGCTCAGCATTGTGAAGCTGTCCGCAGCCTTTGCAGCACCGGTTTGATCCCGGCTGGCCAGCGAGGATCCCACATGGCACGGCAGAACTCTCCTGTCATGCCCGCTGCTCCCCTCAGCAGTGTGTTTCATCAGTCTGCATGTTCTGTTCCCCGCTCTGGCTCTGGTGAATTCTCTCACCCTCCCGCACTTCTGACTGTACCCAGTGTGTCCAATATTTGGACACACCAATGGAGACTGAGGGGTTCTTTTGTGCTTCACTCTACTGTTACTTTAAGCCAGTTACGCATTCAGTGACCTTTGTTCACTTTTACTTGTTACAATAGTTTTACAGTAAGTTGTCAGCCTGTTAATATAGTTAAGTTTAATCTTCAAAGAAAAGGACTAAGCCTATCTATCCTGTTTATTATTATAAGAAACATAAATTTCTATATATAACACTGTGGCAACATTTAAATAATAAGAGATCTTTTGACATAAGGGGGAAGTGGAAGCATAGTTCTCTGTGTGCTCTTTAATTACTTGAAGATTACAAATTCTGAGTCACTGAATTTACACTGGAACTAGCATGTGCCTGCAATGCTTGCATGTATGTACACCTCAGAGAAAAGGTTTCAAAGTGCCCAGACATTGGAAATCAGGGTTGTGACTCAGAGGCAGAGGTTTAGGTTCAGGGTGAATATTTCTACAAAGGTGGTGTCTGGGACAGTTATTCTTCCTCTTCTAGTGATTTCTGATTGTCAGAAGTTGACTGCTCCGTTTGAAGGGAGTTGTTTCAAACAGGAAATTACCTAGTAATCACTTGTGTACTGATTCATGAATGGTTTGTGATGTAAAGGCTCCAGAAACAGGAAACAGTGACTGATAACTAGCCTCGGCAAGTATGGATTTTTTCTGGCAAGCTGTTAATATTGGCTAATGCCTTACCTGCAGGCACCAGTTGAATTAAGAGCAGCACCCCCCCTCCCAAGAACAGCACACCAGCTATGGTGTAACGTCTGGGCAGAGTTCGCAGGAGCAGCCAGGCAGTGAAATAAGCTGGAACTTCAATCAAGGCGGAGAGAAAACAGTTCAAATAGGCATCTCCATGTAAATTAGGAGAGTTCAGGGAGAGCGCAAAATAACCCACTGAGGTCAGCATCCTGAAAGACAAAGGAAAAAAGACAAAAATGACAAAATGATGACCTGAATCACTCTGAAATTTCATGATAGTCAAGAAATTATTTAGATCTTGATGTCCAGCAAGTAGCCACCTTGGGCTATTTAAATATAAATAAGTTACAATTAGATAAAATTTTAAAAATTCAGTCTGTCAGTCACACTAGCCATCAATAATTGCTCAACAGCCACATGTGACCAGTGGCTACTGTGTTGGGGAACACAAATGTAGGACATTTCCATTGTTGCTGAAAGTTCCACTGGATGGCACTAGTCTAGATAAATACTCAGCAACACCTATCCTAGTCTAGTTATTTTCAAATTTCAGTATCTCCTTGAACAGTTTGCACATCATCATTCCCTTAGAGCTATTACAGGAAGGAAGAACATCACTCACATCAGTGAATGTAAAATTCAGATTTCATTCTTACCAAAACAAAGATCTAGTAGATAGTACTGTAGGATCCACTTAGAGTAAATTCCAACTGATTTAATAAAACTCACATTAGGGAAAAGAGTGAATGTCCTATGATATTTCAAAATATCACAGTGTATTGCCTATACTGTCATTCCAGTTAACTTCCACATAGTAACTTCCCTGTAAAAAAATAATTGCACTGTGTAGACTTCCCTCTGCAGAAATATGCTTATTATTAACACGCCTGAAAAGCAAAGGATATCTGAAAAATGTCCCAGGAACATTCTTGATCTTTTTATAGATACTCTACCAGATTGGGCAGCACAAGGTCTAATCTGAAATTAAACAATAAATTAAACCTAATTATTCAGTTAGTGGTTTCACATTTAGTCATAAGAGCAGTATAAATATAATCAGTGACTGGCTTGGTGCCGCAGCTCAGGATGCATTCGCAGCAATAATATATACTGACATATAAGAAGTCAGGAGGGCCACAGTGAGGGAAGTCATGTGCCTAGGACACACTTGCGTAAATCAGAGGCATAAACCCTGTCATTGATTTCTTCCAATTGCAAAAAGCACAGCTCTAAAAATAGACCAGCTGCACCCTGAACCTGCTAGTTCTGATCATCATCTTTCTTTTTGTGCTGCATTTATGAGGTAAGCATGTCCTTTCACTCACTCCATCCTCATTTTGTAGCAGATACATTATTAAATCTAGTCTACAACATCAACTCATTACCTCTAGTCCTAAATCACGTGTTAGTTTGCTGTGAGCAAATGAAAAAAACCTTGTAGTTTTACAGCTTGTTCTATAGTCACTGTCCCATTGCTGGTACAGCTTCTGAAAGCAGAGGCCGAATTAGCATCTTAGCTGTAGGCACTAGGGACATCATAAACTTCAAGCCCTTTCCCTGTGGGCCTTTGGGAATAGCTAATTATTAAATAACTTAAAATATTAAAAAAATACTAATTATTGAATAATAATACTTAATATTACAGATACTACAGACTTAAATATTATTCCCTCCGACTTATTTTTCCCAGTTTCCAGTCATTGGAGGCATTTCTAGTGCCTAACGTGCTTCTAATAAAGAAATGCCTGAAAGTTAATGGAGGTATTTCCAAATGACTTAAAATTCTATAATTTTCATTTTGCCTTGGGAAAATCCAGGCCTTGTCCTGATGTTCCCTTGAATTAAAGACAATCAGCTGTGGGCCTCCCTAGTGGCATAGGCAGTTGAGCACAGCACTGTGAAGCTGTCTGCAGTCCCTGCAGCATGGGTTCAATCCTGGCCAGCCGGGGAGATACCCACATGGCATGGCAGACCTCTCCTGTCTCTCCTGCTGCTCCCCTCAGCAGTGTATTTCAGTCAGTCTACCTCTTCTTTTCCCTGCTCTGTCTCTGGTGAATCCTCTCACTCTCCCGCACATCTGGCCTGTACCCCAGTTCTTGTATGCATGAATAAACAAACCTTTAAAAAAAAAAGACAATCAGTTGTAATCCTTATGTGCTGTATGTCAAATTTCCAGACCCCTTTTTACTTACCATAGCAGCACAGACATAATGGTTATTGTGGCAATATTCCGAGTCCTGAACAGGTCCAGAATGAAAACTTTCTGTTGCTTCATGGGTGTTAGCTGCTGCAGCTAAAATAATGCAAATAATCAAGAGATTAAGAGGTAGTGAGGATATATCTTCAACCATGACAGCCTGGGAAAAACTTATACAACTACCCCTTCACCTTGAATATGCTTAGAAGTCTGGAATTTGTGGAGAATAAGGACATCTACAAAGATGATGCTTATTCTAACACTTTAAAATGTTTGTGACCCATTTTAGACAGGAGCCTTTGAAATGTATAACATTGGCTTCACTGTCTATGCAACAGCAACTACCACAGTATTTCCTTAACTCTGCTAAGGTGGCCTTAATCACACTGAGCTGTGATCCTAGAACCTGTTGAGTGGGTAGAGCCACATAGCCCCAAATTGCCTTGAGGTCTATGACTGCTTTTTATACTTTACTTATTGTTGTCTCAGCATCAGAACAGACTTCTGTTAACTGAGGGCCTTAGTAAAATTACTATTTAGCCTCTGAGCCTCAGTTTACTTCTCTGTAAAATGGGTATAATAATTAGGAGCTGAGAAAATTAAATGAAATTGTTGTGTGTGTGTATACATATATATTATTAACACAGTATTTGACTCATGATAAATGCCTAATACATTTTAAGTTATTAGTATATTATTGTGCCATTGAGGAAAAGATGCTAGCTGTCAGTGGTTAGTGGCAATTTCTCACTGCTATCAATGGGTTTCCTTTACTTTTCATTTACTGAAGTAACCCTGGCATGTGTTAGGAATCTAGGTAACCAAGCTTATCAAGATTGAAACTAGAAGATACAAGGAGCAGAGGTGGGAATTGCTTGGGATAAGGTACAAGGACTTTGTGACCGTATAGACACAAAGCATGCAAAGAATGAGAGGCTGAAGAAGGGTCTGCCATGAAGGATATAAGAATGCTGGACCTCCTGCTGGGGCAGATGCTCCTTCTTTCCAACAATAATCAGACATTGCTTCACACAATGCACAGCCATCTTGCATTTTTCTCCTGTACCATTTGGAGAGTACCATTCTAGAACAAGCCCCAGCAATATACCCCTGTTAGTGCTACAAAGCAAAGCCCCTGTATAAACTAGTGGGAGCTAGAAGTTCTCCTGGAGGGCTCTGGGAGAGGTGCCATGCACAGATAGGACTGTGGGTTAGATCTATGCTATACTTGGTCCTTCCTCTGGGCCCTATGAAAGTATAGGTTGCTAGGCCATTCCAGGCCTTCCTAATCTGGATGTTTGCAGGCCCAGACACCTGGGAATCTGTATGTCTAAAGCTCCTCAGTGACTGTGATAAGGACCCAGGTTTGGAAACCTCAAGACAAGAGTGGTGTAGTTTCTGGTGGTTGTCCCTGGCCTGTGTGGGCCACCAAAATACCTTTGGACCAGGCACCATGAGTAGGTTGAGGTGCTGCATAAGGGAAGCCAGAGAAGGCCAAGATCATTTCCTAAGATGATAATCTATTTCTTTCACGTTAATGCCACTCTCCCTAACATGAGGGGGGAGATTGCAGTTGGTAAGAGCATACACTTTGGCACTGGCAAGGCCTCGGTGAGACTTCTAGCTGTGTGGCACTGGGAAATTATTAAACTTCTCTGTACCATCTCTTCCCTCTCCTGAAAAGAAAGAGGGGTGGGGAGCCTCTAGTAGTAGCTACTAGCTATGGTCAGTATGAGCTGCAAATGAGTCTATCATCTGTGCCTGGCATCTGGTGGCCCCCCATTGGCACTCAGAGCAGGCTGCATTCGGAGACACAGGGCCCTTCAAACCTCCTAAAGAGATGCTTGGGAGGAGAGCAAGGGCAGGGGAGGGTCTTGGGAAAGCACAAGCTCCCTTCTCCTCACTGGGCTTGTCCAGTTCAGGCTAATCTGTTTCATGGAGCCTGAACTTCTTTACAGAAGGAAGAAACAAAGCATGTCGGAAGCATGTGATTCGACATTGGACTTCACTGATCTATCAGTGTATCTCTTGTATATTTTATGACGGCTTTCATCCATGTAGGTCTGACCTCTGTGAGTTCCTCTCAGACAGGCATCAGACCACGAATCCAATTAATATTGGCAAAACATGCAGCACAGCCCTGAGGCAGAAGTGTTTGACACTCCCACTGTTATTTTTGCATCCAGTTAAATTGACTAAGACTGGGAATGGAATTCTCAGTTGAAAGAACAAGGGATTAAGAGATGTTTGTCCTGGCAGACCTCTGAGAGCTTGGGTTCATGGCCACTGTGATTAAGTTGCCAGCCCTGCTGGAGAATCTGTTCCCAACAAAGATCCTTTAGGGCAGGAATGGAGAAGTCCTGGGTGAGGCCCTGGCATGCCCACACACTCCACAGGGTCCTGCTTTCTTGGGTAGCCAGGAGTGCAGACTTAAGATGGGCCACTGCAGCCACCCTTGTTTTCCTGGGGTATCCCGAGCAGTTGCAGTTCCGTATCTTTCTCCTCATCTGTATGTCCCCATCCCATCTCAGTGTCCTCTCCAGTTTGGACCTGCCTCTGCCACTCTGCTCTCCTCTGGCACAGAATGTGCCCTCCTTGGTCATTAGTATTTCCTCCTGGCTCATCTCATTTCTCTTTAATTTTATGCCCCTTTACACTCTCAGTTACATTATTACTTTCTATGCTCCTTAACCACAGGGACTGTGTCTAATCTTTCCAGTCTTTTCTGCACAGGGCATGGCTGAGGGGACTGCAAGTCCTCACTGTCAGCTGCTTCCACAGAATATTGGCTTTTCCCTGACACCACCTGTAAGTCTGCCAGTCTGTGCTCTTAGCCCTTCAGGTTCTAGACACGACATAACAAGAATAAGGGCCTGCAGAGTTTCCTCAGCAGACTTCAGGGGGATTCAGGGTGCAGTGGGAACCCATGAGTAGAATAGTACTCAAAAACTTTTTTCCCCACTTAATCCTGACATTCAAACATCACCAGTATGTAACTGCACCAATGGTATGTTGCAATACCAATAAAATGTTGGAGATAAACTTGCAGAAAAGGAAGGCAACTAATATTTCATCAGCATTTGCCATATGCTAAGCAATTTACACATGTTATTGCACTTCATTCTTACCCCACCCTTTAAGGCAGATTTTATCTCAGAACTTAATCATGTTCTTAAGGTTTCCTACAGTGCCTGGTATAGTAGGCACTCAAAACAGGTTGAATTAAGTTCCATAAAATCAATAATGTGTAGCTGATCTCAAGAGGAAATTCCCAAATGCTTACCTCCACAGGATCAAAAATCACCACTGGGGCAACTATGTTATTCATTTTTGCAGCTTTTTGAATAATATCTTCAGCTTCTTGAAACCTTCGCTGGGATATCAGCCATCGGGGAGATTCAGGAATAAACCTAGAATTTATGTTTAATAGTTTATAATTTTTCACAATAACAGGGTTTGATAGCATTAAGCTGCTCCCCAGTAATTTTGATTTTGTGAAATTCTAGTTTGTCTTTTAAAAGCAAGTTGGGAAGGAGACCTAAGATTTTCATTGAAATAAGAATAAATTACTTGTAGGAATGACCAAAGCCACCTCAAGTCTCCAAATTTGGATCAAATCACAAGATCAATCATCAGTTGTACTTGGGGTAACATTAACTGTGGGTGTGCTTAAGTCAAGGCAACAGGAGAAGGCCATCCAAAACTTAACAGTCACTGTGGCTCAAGGAAGAGACAGCCCACTAGACAGTAAGTCTAGTCTTTTCAGCGTGTCCATCTCTATGAGAACCCCTGGTGCCCTGGCTGGTGATGGTCACAAGCTTTTCAGGTAAAGGATGGCCAGGTATCTCTGCTCCTGGGAATTTCTGTAGCTGGGGGAGTCAGGGACCACACTGGCACCTTCCAGGGAGCTGTCCCATGCCTCAGCAGATTCGCAGGTTCACAAGTACCCAGCCCAGTTTTTGTTTTGTAATATCTGGAAACTTAATTTTTTAAAGTTACACAGTCTATCCACATTTATAACTGATACTCAGACATAGTTGACTTCTTTTCTAATTTTTCTTCTTTGTACTTATATTTATTTTTATCACATTCATATTTATTTATATTTCCCTGTTCTTTCCAAATTTCTTGGACTCTTTTTACCTATTCATCAGTACTTAGTTGTCCTAGAAAATAAATTACAAGAAGACACAGAGGTTTCCAATAATTAATGGGCTCCTCCAAAGACTCACTAGGAGGGACCTCAGAGCAAAACACAAACTTAACTAATGGCCAACCCCCAACTCCCTTCTCCAGCTAGTGCATATGGGTTAACAAGTGAATGCTGGATATATTTTTCAGAATATGTCCTTAGGTAGTCCCTGAAGCAATTGTGATGTTGCTTCAATGGGCCTTCAGTAATTACAACTCTGCTGTCTAAGAGAACTTTCTGCAGTGTTCTGTATCTGCACTTTTCACTGCAGTAACCACTAACCACATATGGCTGGTTATTGGACTAGTGAGACCTGTGTGCCTGAGGAAATGAATTTTTAAGTTTATTCTGTTTTAATCTTAATAACTGCATGGGGCTATGGCTGCTGTATTTGTGTGGAATTAGAGGTCTTAATGCATAGACGCAGTGTACTTCATGGGCTGCTCTACTTCTGAGCAAAAAGCTTTCTCTAACCAGGTTGTGCTTAGAAATTTCCTACCTTTCTCACCACAAGCTCTTGCTATAGGGTAGTCAATGGTCTCAAGTTCCAAACATTTAGTCGGCTAGAAATTGCAAAGCTTTCTCCAAATGGCCCCTGTGGGCTCCTTCCCCACTCTCTACACACACACTCCTTTCATACCTTGGTTACAGTAAGTAAGGTGGTCATTTCATGCCAAGCCTTTCCATTTATTTATTTATTTATTTATTTATTTATTTATTTATTTGTTTATTTATTTATTTATTTATTTATTTATTTATTTATTTATTTATTTATATTTTTGTGTAGAAGAACTGGAGTGTAGGCCAGAGGTTATCAGGGGTGAGAGGATTCACCAGAGACAGAGTGGGGAGCAGAACAAGCAGATTTACTGAAATGCACTGCCAAGGGGAGCAGTGGGCAAGACAGGAGAGGTCTGCTGTGCCATATGTGGGTTAGCTCCTTGCCTGGGGATCAAATTCTGGCCGTAGCCTGATCATGTGCTGAGACTCAACCCCTAGTTCACCAGGGAGGCCCTACTTTTTTTTTTTTTTTAAGATTTCTTTATTTATACAAGAACTGGAGTACAGGCCAGAGGTGTGTGAGGGTGAGAGGATTCACCAGAGACAGAGTGGGGAGCAGAACAGGCAGACTGACTGAAATACACTGCTGAGGGGAGCAGCAGGCGAGATAGGGGAGTTCTGCCACACCATGTGGGTATCTCCCTGGCCAGCTGGGGATCGAACCTGCATTGCAGAGGCTGTGGACAGCTTCACAGCACTGAGCTCAACCTGTTGCATCACCGGGGAGGCCCTGGGATCTCTACTTTGCACACCCAAAAGTCGTACTAATTCAAAAGTCTCAAGTCTAGCTGATCATTTTAAAAGTTAGTGGAGTGCCACATGAGATACCCTTTAATCTCTCTGTGGATTTAATTCAAATTGAACAGAGAAGGCTATTCAGTGCTGGGACCTGTATGTGGCAAATTGATTGAGGAGGCAACAGGCAGCACTGAGCCCCAAGCATTTCCCATGTCCTCCCAGCCCACCTGGACAGATAAGGACCCCTTCAGAAGTCTCGTCTTCAAGAACAAGATGGTCAGAGTAATGATTTTATTTTTATGGGAAAATATTTTTATGGGAACTCCAAAAAAAGAGGGTGTGGCTGGGACCTTATTCCATTACTCTTATTCTCTTCTCCTACGTGAAATCTTCTGGGTAATCATATTGGGTAAAGCTGCGGCCACTATTCCAAACTTTGTTATTCCCACACTAATAACTATTGTTATTAAAATTTCAGAACTAGCACGCAGCTGGTTAGTTCTGGCCTGGGGCCAGAGCCACCCTCTGGCTGAGGCAATCCTGTCCCTGGTACAGTATGCAGCAGCCAAGACATTCCTGGTCTGGTGTGTAAGCAACAGGAAAAGTAATTCTCTTTTAGTAAAGAGTGAGGCTGCTCCTGCTGGGATGGACCTTCTTTGCTGAACACTCAGGATGCTGACATATCACAGCTGTCCCTTCCTGTGTTATTGGTTCTATGGCAAAGATCCTTACTAATCTCTTCTGGTTAATCATGGCCCTTTTATTTTTATGTTTATTCTCTCTCTCAACATAAGTTTTATTATAGTAAATATTTAAAGTGCTGGGGTTTTAGACCAAAATCACAACTGGAGCCAGGGAAATAGATGATCCAAATCCTTTCTCAGAAGAGACAGAAAATAATCTTTGAAAAATGTGTCCTTTTTTTTTTTGCTGACTTTGAAATGTTTATTCTTTAAAACATTAGTTGCTTTTTATACAGCTATACAAAGTTCTTAATATTTCTTTGGCAATGGAATATAATGGAATTTTACAACTATGTAAAAAAGTTACCTTTGCCTAAGAAACAGCATTTACTGTGTGTACATAGTTAACTGACAAAGTTCTCTACCACCCAGCACCCTAATTAATTGATCAAATAAGCTACCTCAAAGGGATATTACAGGATTTCCAAAAAGAAAGAGAAAGATATAGAAACACATACATACAGACATGCACACAACCTTCCCTGACTCAAAACAGTATCACGGCCCTATCTGTAGGCAACTGGCAATAATTGCCAAATACAATTTAGTGATAAGAAAAATCCTTTCAGTGATAAAAAATACTTACAAATCCCATTGAAGTACTGCTTCGGTTTAATTGTACATAAGAAATTACTTAACCTTCTGCTGTTCCAAATATATTTAATGCTTATTTTTATTTATTTATTTTTATTTATTTTTTTAATAGAGGCATGTTTATTTATTTGTTTGTTTGTTTGTTTGTTTGTTTGTTTTGTTTATACATGCACTGGGTACAGTCAGAAGCGCGGGAGGGTGAGAGAATTCACCAGAGCCAGAGCGGGGAGCAGAGCAGGCAGAAGGACCGAAGTACACCGCTGAGGGGAGCAGCGGGCGGCAGGAGAGGTCTGCGCGCCATGTGGGACCCTCCTCTGGTGGCCGGGGAGCAGCCAGGGATCGAACCGGCGCTGCAGAGGCCGCGGGCAGCTTCGCAACCGAGCACTCAACCGCTGCGCCACCGGGGAGGCCCAATGCTTATTTTTAAAAATGAGCTTTCTCCACCCCCCTCCAAAAAAACCCTCTGATCATCATCCTCTTTTACAATAAATTCAGTTGGCAAGGGGACTGTGGAGAGAGGGACAGAGGGTATGATGATGGTGATGATGATGATGATGATGACGATGGTGGTGATTCTTGTTTTATAACATTGCTTTCTTCTTGTGAATTAGGAGTGTTTTTCTTGGAGGCAGGGCAGTGTAGATAATGGCCTGCGCTTATTTACTATAAACTTTCCTGACTCACATACAGGGTTCCAAAGGAAATCTCTAAGTCAAAATCATATATAACTTTTAACATACAATCTCTCAAATGCCAGGGAAGTATGAAAAAAAAAGTGCTCTCTCCCTTCATTCACATCCCACACCAAGAATTTACATTGGTAAACCAGAGCAGTCTTAGAGGTCATAGAAAGACAGTAGCTTGGCATGGTCCAACCATAGCCACCTGGTCCAGCAAGACCAAGACTTGTGGCCTGTCAGCCTATATAGGTGTTAACACTTGCAGGCAAAGGACTTCAAGGGTGTTTCCTAGACAGAGGGGCCAAAGGACAGGGCACCGTGAGGGCTAGCCTAAACTGTGAGTTCCAAAAACTGGAAGATGCTTTCATTATGGGTAAGCAGGTGGAGGTTAGGCAGTTCACTGAAACCAGTCAGGGCTGGGAGATTTGATTGTGATATCATGAAACCAAACCAAGAAAAATGAATAAAGTCTGCTATAGAGTGTGCCAGACCCCCAAATGGAAGGAATTTCCTTTTCTCACACTTAAGTATGAAAAACCAAAGAAATGAGAACTCCAAAAAAAAGAGGGCATGGCTGGGACCTTATTCCATTACTCTTATTCTCTTCTCCTAGGTGAAATATTCTGGGTAATCGTATTGGGTAAAGCTGCAGCCACTGTTCCAAACTTTGTTATTCCCACACTAATGTGTCAGAATGGACCGGAGGGTTGTGGCAGGAGTGAAGAGGGTATTTCTCTAACAACTCATTAAGCAAAAGTAGTCTCTCTTCCAGCCAAAGCAGAGAAATAAGACCACCTGAGATACTAATCCACAGGTGCTAGGGAAGTTTGAAGAAATTACATTAGTGGAATCCATAAGAAGAAAGATGATTTCTAGGAGAGAAAGATGTCAAAAGGGGAGGGAGCAGAGTTAAAAATAACAAAACCCAAAGCATCATTTCTACAACAACAACCAACAACAACAGAGAAAAGCGGGGACTAGATTTCCTGAGACAAGTGGGCCAGTGGAGAATCAAATCCCTGCACACAGGCCCACCCACAAGGAGGGGGACACTGTCTGTGCCTCGAGGCCTCTGCTCCAGTGACATCACGCAAGCCCACAGTAGGGTCAGCACCAGGCTCTGGGCTCCAGGCGTGCTGGCCCTGCAGCAGGGGGCTGTCTGGGACCAAGCCACACTCACCACCACAGCGGGACGCACAGCACCCCCGGCACCGTCAGCGCCAGCAGCAGCATCCGCCAGTCTCTGATGAAGTAAGCAAACAGTGGCAGCAGCATGTAGCCAACTGCAAAAAATGTGCACACTCCTAACGTGGAGAATATAATACGAACTGACTTGCCAAGAATTTCTGTTCCTGTTCAAAACAAGGGAGGAGTGTTAGCATTTTAACTCACTTTAATATTTGCTATTTATATCATTACCCGGTAGCCAGAGTTCAAACTCAACCATTTAGAAAAGGGAGAAGGCGTTGGATTCATGGCCCAGAGCAGGAGTGGTCAGGGTGGAGGAAGGTGGGAAGTGATCCCAGACATACCACCTTATAGAGGGTTGCGTTTTCCTAAGGTTTTTTTTTTTTAATATATTTTTTAAGATTTTATTTATTTATACAAGAACTGGGTCAGAGGTGTGGGAGAGTGAGAGAATTCACCAGACACAGAGTGGGGAGCAGAACAGGCACAGGACTGAAGACACCGCTGAGGGGAGCAGCGGGGGAGACAGGAGAGGTCTGCCACCACGTGGGTTTCTCCCTGGCTGGCCAGGAATCAAATCCGCGCTGCAGAGACTGCGGACAGCTTCACAGTGTGGCACTCAACCCGCTGTGCCATTGGGGAGGCCCAGTTTTCATAAGTTTTTTTTATTTTTTTAAGATTTATTTTATTTTAGACAAGAACTGGGGCACAGGCCAGATGCGTGGGAGGGAGAAAGGATTCACCAGAGACAGAGCGGGGAACAGAACAGGCAGACTGACGAAACACACTGCTGAGGGGAGCAGCGGGAGAGACAGGAGAGGTTTGCTCGCCATGGAGGTTGCTTCCGAGGCCGGTGGGGATCTAACCAGCACTGCAGAGGCTGTGAACAGCTTCACAGCGCTGTGCTCAACCTCCCTGCGCCACCAGGGAGGCCCTTTCATAAGGTTTTAAGGAAGCCATTTGGGTAAGGTCCATAAAGGAGCCATTTAAATATTTTAATGTTTAAAATATTCATTAAAAGAACAAACATTTTAAAGTCCATCTCATGTCACAGAAATAACATGCCCAGCTCCAGGCAGTAATCCTTTATGAGAAAAATCACGATTCCAAAATGAGAGTCCCAGGATGAGGAGCAGAGAAGACACTTCAGGGGACAAGTCAGGGTTCTTCTGAGGGGCTATGTGGGGTCACGGTGCATGTAGACTTTTCCACATCCTGCACTGCAAATAAACAGTGCTGGCCCATGGGGAAACAGCAGAGAGGCTGCAGATACTGAGACATATTAGGATACCCTTAGCAACCCTTGAGCCCTCAGAAATGTTAAATAGAATCCAGCTGGCTCCAGAGGTGCAATGAGCAACCCCCAGTGCCCAGGACTGACTTCACCCATAGTCACATTGTGCCCAGAGATTAGCCCCAGACAGACACAGTCCATTTAGAGTAAGAAAGCAAAAAAGGGCCCATTCTGCCCTGACAGGTGGCAACCCTGGAGCTGGCCACATACCCTGGAACACCCCAGTTTTCCCAGAACACCATAAAGGCCCAGGACTGCTCAGTGTTGAGCCTATTATGGGAGAGGACTGGCAGGTGGCTATTGGATCCTGCCATGCTCAGAGCCACAGCAGATCAACAGCATCAGTTCTTCCTGAGACACGGCCTGTCCCTTGGAACTCTTGGTTTGAGATGGGCGAGTCCAAGAACAATCTCCTTCTGTAGTCACAGAGCTCCAGGCCCTTCACAGAGTCCACTCTTGGCACTCTGCTGTGGGGTGGAGATCTGGCTAATGGTAATAGCCTACCTTTGGTCTCAGTTCTGCCCACTAAGAAGTAGCCCAGAAAATACAGAGCAGCTCATTCAAGGTTATCCAGGCTTGGCATTCAAGGGAGACTTTCTCAATAGTGTTTTATATACCCTGAGCACAGATTAAGGAGTTAAGGGCTAATTCCATAGAAGCAGTAAAATTACTACCGCAATCAACTTCCCTTTCACATTGCCTTTCTCACGTCACTTCCTCACTCAGCATAAATGAGTGCCTCTGTGGTGCCCTCTTGAACAGCCATTTCTGAAAGCTAGGCTGATAATAGTCAGTACTGTGTGCTTCTCATATCACAGGCTGCAGACAGTAGCCCTAAACACTGGGGACATTTCTCAACCTCTAAACTCATTTCTAAAGATGAAGCCTAACTGCTCTGGGGATCATGAGTGTTATTTCCAAATCTTTTCTTACCTCATCATTGACCTTCCTACCACTCCTTGGGAAGACTCACCATGCCATGGTTTCTAAACACTGTGATTATCATGATATGGGAGAGAATAGCGGATGCTTTATTCTTAAGCAGAGATTCGGAAGTGAAGCAGCAGAGGATTTGATTATGGAAAAGAGAAAGTGCACAGGAACAAGTGAGAATCTTGTAGGATTGTGAGGCCACGAGAGGCGCCCTCATACTTCCATGGCCCTGATAAGAGAAGAGAGAGACGTTATACCACTGAATTGCTGGATAATCTCCCTCTTTAAGCTTGGGTCTCATAGCAGAACAGACTTATTCTAACCATGCAGAGCTTCCACAGGGGACAGAGTGAAGCTTGGTCAAGCTACCTCTGGGCCTTTCTGTGGACTAATATGATGGCATGAACCTGAAGCGTTGTTTGTTAGCCTGACCTCCTGCTCAGTGACTTTTAGATAATCACCTTTCCTTCAACACAATCATCAAGATCATCATCATCATCATCATCACAGCCAGCATTATGAGTGGGCACTTTGGACCAGACTCCAGGCTAGGTGTTCATATATTATTTCTCTGAATCTCTACGACATTTATATAAGAACTGATATGACTATTTTACACATAATCAGACATGATGTAAAGAGTTGAAACAAACCACACATATGTAATAAGTGGGGGATTTAAGACTATTTGACCGATGGATATCTTCTAGAAAAAAAAAATCACCTAGGGACAAAACCTGGACTCTCCAGGAGACATGTGTAGGAGTTGGGGGAGGCCATACTCTCCTTTCAGAAGTGAGGCTTTTTCCCTTCCCGAGAAGTTTTTTGAATCAATTGAGGGCCAGCCAGCCTCCTCTGATAACACTAGGAGACAGACCTGATGCTTGCAGCTGCCACGAACATCCTAGTTGTCAGCGAGACAGCAACAGTGGTGACTTCTGGTTCTATTCTACCTATGGGGATGCCCGTCCTGGTCTCCTCTAGCCCCAGGTTTTTTTTCTTAGGGCAAAACCCAGTTGGTCTTGGTATAGCTGAGCCTAAATTTGGAAGTGAAACTGACATTTCAATCAAAGGGGCATGTCCTTGCCAGGAGCACTTGCCTACATCCTGTCCTCTCTACCTGAATTTGAGCACTTTCCAAGAGGTAGTGACTCAGAGAGGACCAGGCTCACTTCCACATCCATCAGGGTCCTTCTGTAGTAGTCAGCCCAGGAACCACTGAATCACTGCAGATGGAGACAGAATCTGCCCTCCTCTGACCAACAGAGGACTGCAGCAGACCCCAGCTCATAAAAACAAGACTGAGCTAAAACAAAACCAGACTGTGGTGCAATTGCCAGGACATGGGGTGGAACCCAGTGCCCCTGGACTGGGAGTGCCCTCCATTAGGCATATGCAGAGAGTGTGGGCTCCTTCACACTCATTTGCTACAACAATGGCTTTGCTAAGCCTTGCTTCATGGAGTTACTATTATGAAGACTGTGATCACGTTCCTAAAGTGCCAACATGAGACAAGTCCGAGATATGTAGGTGTTCAGGGATAGAGCATTCTTTTATCCTGCTCAGAGAGCTGCGCTATACTAGACATCAAGGGAATGGTGGGAAAGTCCAATGTCTTTGACCAAGAGACCCGATGTCATTGCTTCCCAGAAAATACACAGAATTCACTTCAAATGAACAGATATTCTCCTGCTCAGAGCTTCCTCTCTCCCCTTTATTAACCTTCACTGATAATTCTAGTCAAAAGCAAACTTTCCTATCTCTGCATGTGCCCAAAGAAGCTAACCTTCTCTCCAGCCTCTGCCCTTAATCATGTCCTCAATAACAAGTACGTTGGAGGCTGCAGCCTCACCAGATGTGAGCTCCTTAAGAACACACAGAAACAAGTGCTTACTCTTTCCTGAGTCTCCAGTTCCCCCCAACACGTTGTAGTGCCAATAAGGGGTGCCAACAAATTTTTGCATTATATATATAGATGTGTGTGTGTGTATTTTTTTTTACACCCTATCTCATCTCTTGAGGATTTTGAGGTATCTTTTAAGTTGAATACAAGAAAATATTGGTAACATTAGACTACAAAGAAAAGTAAAGTTATGACTTAGAGAAAAGAACTAAATCCATAGCTGATCATTTTGGAAAACAATCTGGCAGTTCCTCTAATGGTTGAGCATAAAATGACCATATAACCCAGCAATTCGAATCCTAGGTACATACCCAGGAGAACTGAAAATACAGATCCACAAAAACTTGTAGTCAAATGTTCATACTAGCATTATTCATAATTTCCCAAAGTGGAAACAACCCAGATGTCCACTGACTCATAAACAGATGAACAAAATGTGGAGGAGCCACACAACAGAAAACTGATTCTTGCTGGAACATGGATCAACCTCAAAAACATTAAGGAAAATAGTCACAGAGACCATATATTGTCTCTGTAAATGAATCCATGTATAGGACTTGTTCAGACTAGACAGATCCATAGAGACGGAGAGTAGATGAGTGGTTTCCGGGGATTAGAGAAAGAGAGGAACAGGGGTTGTGGTGGGGATTGCTAATGGGCTGATTTCTTTTGGGAATGATGGAAATGTTTTGATATTAGAGTTGATGGTTGTACAATTTTTTGAAAATACTAATCATCAATGAGTTAGATACTTTCAAAGAGTGAGTACACAACATGGAAAATTATATCTCAATTTACAAGTATTTAAAAATGGCTGATAAAGGCAGCATGATAAATACAGTTAAACTTCAAATTTACCCAAGTCTCCTGATAGCCAAAGTTATAAAGGAAGATGACATCAATTACAAACTTATCAAGATGAAGGACAAGTCAGACATCAGAAGCAGCAGAGTCTTAGATAATTAAACATGTAACAAATATTGCATAGGGGGAGGATGTTAGGAGTACTGGGTAAATACTGAGTTATGGATTGGTCAAGATAAGAGGAAGCTAACTGTGTAGAAAAACTAGCTCTTGAGGGATAAAGAAGGATACTTACCGACATTTTGCCTCTGGAAGATGGAAAGGGTTTATTTCTGGGAATAGTAGATTCTGAGGGAGTACTAGCATGTGGGTAGTGTCAGTGTCCTTGGTCCTGATGGTCACTTCCTCCTGAAGCAGCATCACTGTCTGAGCCCTCCTCTCCACCTGTATCCACTTTATGTTCCTGTGGGTTTCACTGTTCCTTCCTTACCTAGTCTTATCTCCTACAACTCTGGTGGGCTTTATACTTTTTACAAAGCAGAGCAAGAGAATCCATTTCTGCATTACTTTGAGAGTAGCTGTAATTCAGCTTCCTGAATAATGTTACAACTCTTTTTTTTTGTATTTTTTTAAAAGATCTATTTATTCATACAAGAACTGGGGTACAGGCCAGAAGCGCAAGAGGGTGGGAGGATTCACCAGAGACAGAGTAGGGAGCAGAACAGGCAGATGGACAGAAGTACACTGCTGAGGGGAGCAGCGGGCAGGACAGAAGAGGTCTGCCATGCCATGTGGGTATCTCCCTGGCCAGCCGGGAATTGAACCTGTGTTGAAGAGCTATGGACAGCTTCGTTGCACTCAACCCGCTGCGCCACTGGAGAAGCCCTAATGTTATAACTCTTAAAACTTTATAAATGTACACCCTGATGGGGAATGTTGATAATGGGGGAGAGTATGGCTGTATATGGGAAGTGTCTATACCTTCCTCACAATTTTGCAGTGAACAAAAGCTGCACTAAGGGGAAAAAAGAGAAAATAGAACAAAACAAACATCTCTGGGTCTTACCAACCCTTCCCAGAAGCCAAGGGCAAAAGCCGAGGCACAGAGAGAATGCCACACCTAGATCTCAAACTTAAGTTGTTTTTTTTTTCCCCATCAAAAACCCCTAAGTTCTACTGTTTCAGCCCTGAAACGCCAGAGAGCGCTGCTGAGCTTCAGTCAAGCCAGCCTCTGTATGGTGCCCCTAGCCCCACCCCATCCCAGGAGCTGAAGAGGAAGTGGCTGCTCCACGGAGCAGGTTGGTTTTCAGTGGCACTCTTAAATGTTCAGACCAATAAAGACTGTCATACCAGGACAGAAAAGTCAGCAGTTTCCTGCAGAGCACAGTGGAGTAAAACTAGAGTCAGGGAGGCCCCCAGTTGCACCCTACAACAGGCCCAGACACAGGCTGATTAGGGAGCCAGGTGCACCCAGAGCCTTGACCGCACCCACCAATCACTGGCTTGACACATCCAAGCTCTGAATGATCTTACTGACCTTCCCCTTTGTCCCCTCACTCTTCTCAGCACCGGGAGCAGGGAAGGGAGTTAAGTCCTAGTGTTAGATCAAAGTGAGCAGATCTTTCCTGCAGGAGGCCTGCAGAGGGTTCTCCCAGCCTCATCCACTTACACGGGAGAGTTTCAGTGGCTCCAGAAGCACCCTGTGCTCCTGGAAAGGCAGAGCCCAAACAGAACCTAGGGGAAGCCATGCTAGGCAAAAAGCCCACCTGACTCCCAATCCCCATGATTTTACACCTTCTTGTTTCACCATGAGTCTCTATCCTTTCATTCCAGTCCTTTTGGTTCTCCTAAAAGGGTCTGCTGGTGTCTGGCCCAAGTAGAGCCACACAATGGGCTTTCCAGGGAGAGCCGCATGTTGATGGACAGGAGGAAGATGAGTTCTGGAAGATTCAGAATCTGAGGACAGTAGGCTTTGCTGTACCCAGGAGTCTGTGTCTTTGGGACCACCAGGCATTAGGAGATCACAGATTCTGTCCTATATTCCTTCAACCTCCAGTTTCCAACACCACTGGCTTGAAGTTCTGTGTCCTCTACATGACTGACCTTCTTAAAGGAAGTCTTGTTCCAATTACAATAAAGTAAAAATCAAAATCAAGAAGCAACTATAAATCAGAGACACACTACATGGGGGGTGAGGAGGGAGCAGGATCAAAACAAGGGGAGTGGGAATTGTATGGAGACTATAACCAAGATGAAAATGCATACACTGTGCAAAAATGAAAAATGATGTAAAATATATATAAAATAAAAATAAAATAAAAATGCTCAAAAAAAAAAAAAAAGTCTTGTTCCTCTCCTTCTACTGCAGGGAGGAGAGAGGCCCCCACCTCCCCTTGGAGCTATAGAGGAGGGTGCCATCTGCTGCCACTAGGGGGCTGCAGTACGTTCTCCCCTCCTCTGTAGACATTGAGCCTGGGCCTGTGGCAAGGGGTTTTTCACAAATGATTAAAGGTATGGAATTTGAATAATTCCATCTTGGCAACCTGACAGAGTATAAACATTCTCAACAAAAAGAACAAAGCATCTCCAAAACCAGTGAGTAATTTAGACTCTTAGAACTGATCAGAATGATCTTACTAGATTCAGGATTTTGAGACAAGAATCATTAGCCCTACATTAAAAGGATGCTATTAATCATACGGTGACAACAGAGACAGACTGGGACCTCACTGAGCTAGCAAGAATATGTTATCACACTAGAGATTATGGGGATCTGTGTCCACTGTCCCAGAGGCGCTCATCATTTTCCCTTCTCTCACTGGTGCAGAGGGCACATTGGGGATTGTCACTCCAGACGGAAGACCTTGATTCACCTGTGTGAATCTTGTCTCATTTCCTCCCAGGAAAAACTGGTGAGGGCTCTGGGGGTCTCTTCATAGCCTTTTGCTATACGGGTCTCACATACAACCTCGTATTCCAGAAGCAAGATTGCAGCTAGGAGACAGGACTACTATCAGTGCAGTGAGGCTTGTCCTGCATGTAGCTGATATGCAATGGGGGTGCACTGTGACTCAGGGTGAGACTAGATGTGTCCAATGCCAGTGGACTGGCATTGAATTTCTGCTTGGCATGTGCCTCCTCCACTTGTGTACCAGCCACCCTAAACCACCTAACTACCCTAAGTCCCCCTTCACGGGCCATGCACACCTTCTAGGAACACCCTTTGCACTAGCCCAAGCAGAAATCTTGAGCTTTCATAGCTCAGATCAAAAACACCCCTAGGCAGTCTCTTACTCTAAGATCTCCCATTCTGTGCCTCTCCCAGTAGGCCTAGTGCTCCCCAAAATGTGTGTCAGTTACCTTGTGGCCGATTCCTACCAGCTCCAGTTCTTATTCACCACCACATTTCAGGGCCCAGCACAGAGATGGCTCTCTGCAAGGGCCTACTTTATCCATGATTGGCTATAGCCCCCCTCCCCAATACACACATAACCAAGTCTGATCACATTTTAGAAGCACAGCCCATGGGTAGAGGTACTTCCTTCTCTGCTGTGTAGAAGCACTACTGTGCCTTCTCCAGTGGTCCCTTTTTGCCTGGGGTCAGAAAGAGGAGCTCTGTGAGTCAGAAGCCATTCCTACCTAGTATGAAGGCCACCACGTAGTTGGAGATCTGGCCCATGCCAACGATGACAAATAGCACGGTGAACATCTCCCAGTTGATGGAGAAAATCTGTATGAAGCTGAAGCCAGTCTGCACAGCCATGGTTGCAAAGAGGATGTTCTTTCTGCCAAACCTGTAGAGTACAGCACAGCACAAAACATGGCCCGCGCAGGTAACAGTCTCTGATACTCAGAGCATGTGGCCAGCCCTGAGTCAGGCCTCACTGCAGAGTGCATTTTTCAGGGCTGTGATACTTTTTCCCTATCACATCCTCCCCAGTTTCTCCTTGGTGAGGTCTCAGACATCCACATACCTTTTGAGATTCTAAGCTTCCTGTGGAGCCACCATATCTCAAAAGTACAGAGTATCTTATCCAAGGACTATGTGGAAATCTGCTCTTTAGAATGGGCCACAGGTAGAAGATGCCACTACATTTTTGGAAAGTGGTCACAGTGCAGACTGCAGATACAGCTAATAGTAGCAACGTGGGGATTCTATCAATTCAAATTCTAGTACGACAGTGGTTTTCTATCTTGACTACGCGTGGAATCACCTGGAGAGCTTCCAAAATACTGAGGCCAGCACCCTGCCTCCTAAAATTCTGATTGTCTGGGATGCCACTTGGAAATTGAGATTTAAAAAAAATTCCCAGGTAAGACTAATGCACAATCAAAATGGTGAACCCCTGCTCTGTGGGAAGTATAGCTGCTAGCAATGTCCGTTAGTGACATTGTAGTTGACTTAAGACTTAATTTCACATTCTGATAGTGATCAATGGGTGTGAGCAGAATAGTCTCTCATGCCATTTTTCAAAATCAGGCATTTGGGTTTTGAGTCCCATCAGTCCCCCACTGTAAGGGAGGGAGGGACTTACTCCTCAGAGAGTCCTTAGTCAAGGCACTGGGAAGCTCTCCCCAGTGCAACCATTTTGCACTTCCATCTTCCTGCTCTGGCCCCCACTGAACACTAAGGGGCCTATGGAGCATTCTTTCTGGAACTGTCATACGTCTCCCCCAAAATATGAGCTATGTAGCTCCAATGCCCAACCAGGGGCCTGACCCATGGCAGAGGCAGGTGCACAGTTGGCATGCAGGTGTCTGCTGCCCAGCCCTGCCTCTCATTGATGACTGTGGACATATCACATGTTATCTAAGAGTTCTAGAGGGGTTGTGCATGTCTTATTTTGAAGGGTTTGGAGATATAAGGGCTCTACTTTTCACTGGAGCCTCTGCTCCTCCGCACTGTTGGTGAAAACCCTAGAAGTGCTAAGCTGGGAGGACTGAAAAATGATAAGTTCAGGCAAGGGGCTGAGAGCAGGGAGATCAGAGATAGCATGGCTCCTCCTATCGCCTGACTCAGTGGCCTGAAGGGTCTCCCTTTCTCTGGAAGGAATACCTGAAGCCAGTCCAGCTCCAAGGCAGGTAGTGATTGACAAGGGGCCCTATCCCACCCCCTCCCTCTAGCATCCTTACCTGTCTGACAGCTGCCCAGACACGAAAGAGCCGAGGAGCACGCCTACGAAGAACAAGGAGGTGGTGAGGGGCGTCTTCCAATTATCCTCACACACCAGATTCCACTGCCAGGGAAGACAACATGAAACGTGAGCCCCACTTTCCAGCAGGCCAGCCCCAGCCCAGCTCTGAGGGGGTATTAGCGTGGCAGGCAGGTTCATTGCTCCTCTGTGCTAGGCATTGTCTGTGCAAAGGACATGGACCATGCAGCCCTAGAGTTGGCTCCTGACTCTGTCATTTGCTGGGACAAGTTATCTGCATCTTCCGAAAGGGAGGGAGTTGCCTCCTGTTCTACTTCCATCACAGGGTGATATGTGGACTGAGGTGTGGCTGTGACGGGTGACCCCTCGGCTGGAACAGTATGAAGCAAAGGTGGCATTTCTACTTCGGAAGGCATCCCAACACGGAAGGAAGTTGGAGTTGCCAGGGAGAAGGGAGAAGGGCTGGGTAGGGCTGAGGTGTAAAAGGTCCAGGTATAAAAGTTTTCTCCGCCTTGTTGAAAAGAGCACGTGGTCCCAAGAGGTCTTGAATTTATTTTCTCAAGAATAGACAAGCCTGTGCTTCACACCCTGGACCAGGCATTGGGTCTGATCCAGGGCCTCAGGGTGCTGGGACCCAGACTGGGGCCCAGCCACCCCTCTCCATGCTCTTTATCTCTCCTCTACACTCCTCCAACCTCCTTCCTACCAACTGTGGTCCCTATCATTCCCCAGGGCCAAGGGCTCTTTTAGTCCTAACAAGTTCCCGCAGGAGGATCCATAAAATACGAATTTTAGCGAGAGTTTCAGTTCCCAGCTCTCCCCTTAAATCAGTTCAGCAAAATCTCAAGGGAGGTTGCAAAACCTTTAAAGTGTGTTAATGAGCTTTCATTTCTTTAAGAAATAAGCAGGTGCCAATAAGTGTTTTAGGGCTGTGGGTCAGAGGGTTGCTATGAGCAGCCAAGATGATCCAGCCTGGGTAAAAGACCCCTTGCTGCCCCCCACACCCAGCTCTGGTTCATGGTGCTGCTGTTTCTCTGACAAAGCCATTCAGTCCTTAATTCTCACAACTTCCCTGAAATAGGTTTAAAATTGCATTCACGTGTTTATATCACATCTCATTCTGCAGCAGAGAGAGGTACTTAAATACATAAAGAGAAAAAGTCTAATGCTAAAAGCTAAGGGAATGGGGCAAAGAGAAAAACGAGGGCAAGAGGAGATACAAAATAATCAAGCCAGGGGGAAGACTGGCCACTGACTCTCCTGCCCTAGGACCTGTGTGCTTCCCAGGGAGGCCCTGGAGTCTGGCCCTGAGTATGTTCGAGCAATTCAGCTCCCGGAAAAATCACAATAAGCAAAATGATCAATTCATCCTACACGAGCTCAGTTTCTCTGCATCTCAAGACTGGAGAAAAATTTCTCCCGTGTCTCTCCGCAAGGGTGTCACTCCGTGATGTTGAGGGTAACGTCCTTGAGAACACCCCCACCCCAGACACAATAGCAAGATTCATGAGCCTGCCTGTCACAGTGCCCATAATGCTGGCCAGAGGCTGGAGGCCCAAGCACAGCTCTGCAGAATACAAACAACGTGGGCCTGGAACTCAGTTCTCTACCCCCAGGCATAATCCAGGAATAAACCAATCTGATACCATACACAGAGTAGGGGCACTACAGTGGGGTCTCTGAAGGGTCTCAGGACAAAGGGCACAGACCCTTTAAAATTATAATCACAGATTAGTGTCCTATAGCCCATGGGCCAGAGGGGTGGACAGGACATGCCCTGGAATTAATGGCCGCCCACTTCCAAAAACCACTGACGAAAGTGTCAGAAAAGATCTTGGGATCTTCTCCAACACAGAAATAAACAATTGAGGCTTAAAACCTTATGATGTGAACACATTTTGCAAGAGTAAATTGGGACTGTTTTGCCTGAAGTAAGTGGGCATGCTAGGTACAAATTAAGCCTCAGAGTTCAACTTTGTACCCATGGCCTGCTTTGCACATGAACTGCAAAGACCAGAAAAAATGAGCTCATTAAATACCACCCTTACATTTCATCAAGGAATGTGCCACCAGAATTGGGGGTAGAAGGCTTCCACTGCACCCTTTAGTCAGGGGCACAGCTGAGAAAACTCACTGCGGATAGGGGTTATTAATGTGTCCATTATCAACCCTCACCACTCCCTCTGTAATGGAGCAGAAACACTCTGCCAAAAATAATGTACCCTCCTATGTGATTTTTGGATTAATTTTCCATTAAGACTTTGCCCTCAGAGAGGATACATAGGACTCAAGACAGACAGGAAAGACCAAGGAGTCAGAGGAGGAGTCAGGCTTCAAAAGAGTGAAGGGAGTGGGCAGGACTGGCTACCTAATTTGTAGGCCTGGTGCAAACTGACAATGCACCACCCCTTGTTCAAAAATTATTAAAAATTTTAAGACATCAATAGCAGAGCATTCAAATCAAGTATGAGGCCCTGCGTGACTGCACAGTTTGCATGCATGAAGCCAACCCTGATAGAGGGTTGAGCCTGGGCTCATCAGGAATGCAACAGGGGAAGGTGTCCTGAGTAGGGGTGCTGAAAAGTCTCGTACTGGGCTCTGCAGCCATGGTCTAGGTCCCTCTTCCCTCCTGAAGTGGGGTCTAAGAACCCTGCCAGCATTGTGGAGCTGTCCCTGGCCCATCTGCCTTTAGAGACCCTGTTCATACCCAGCAAAGGAAGCAGCTGGACCTCAAGGCTGCCTATGGTTGGTTCCGGGGTGGTGGGGGGCCTCTCCTGGGAAGTCACTGTGCCTAAGGAATCTTTTTGGAAAGCTATTATAGGACAAGGATCAGCGGACAAAGATGCAACTGTGGTTTATGGGACTTGAGTCCAATAAATCAGCTTCCAAGCCAAAGAGATGCCCTTTTCTCCACAGGGCTATTTTGGGGGAGTCTAGACCCTGACTGCCTGAAGCCCCTTGCAATTTGAGGGGTGTGTCTTGGGGGCCCGAATAGCCAGGGAACTCCCTGAGGTTAACAGTGACATGGAGGGCCCAGTGGGAGGCAGTGTTTTCCTTGGGGGTAAGGACTGTCGCGTGCTCTCAGCACATGTGTGTGCACAAGTGAACACACAAACACATATTTACCTGGCCAGCTCAGAGGTGAGCAGTGAATGGCCTGGTGAGGCCACTCACTGGCCTGGCACTGCTCTGGCCAAATACGAAGCATTGTCAAAACATAACCCAACCCTTCACCCCCGGACAGGGAGTGGAATATGGAAACCAGCTGACCCAAGCCTCTGGAAGCACTGGATGTGCCCTCCCAGGTCACTGTGTCTGCTGTCTCTTCCTCAGGTTTTTAGACCGATGTTCCCTAACAGAGCAGAGTGACCTCCAAATAGCTGGATCATCCAGCTTTCAGCTCTGCTTCAAAAAACAAAAACCCAGACGACAAGGAAATCAGGCATGGAAGGCCCCTCTCCACACAGAGGGATGTACCTCCCAGGCACAGCTCAACAACAATAATAATATGAACAACTACAGTGTTTTGAGTACTCATCGTATGCCTTGTATTATCTCATAGGATCTCCAAGTTACCATATGAAATGGGTGCTCTCTTTATCCTCATTTTGCAAATGAGGAAATGACACAGAACAGCCAAGCACCAGTCCAAATTATAGTGGATTGCTAAAAGGAATTGCTTAATCATTGATTCAACTGTCCTTGAGCACTTGCTCTGGGTCAAACTCTATGTGGGACACAAAGCTGACATGGTTGCTATTTCCAGAAAGCTCAAGGTCAAGCATACTTTATGGGACAGGTCAGATGTGCACATGTGCATGCATAAGCCTAGTTGTGGGTGGGACAGGCTCTGTTCTGGCCACTGTGCCCTTGCTCTCTGGCTAGAGAGGAAAAAAGGCACCCCCCCTTCCAGATCCTCCAGATGGACAGAGTTCTAAAACCGAATCCATTTGTATCTTCCTTTTAGATAATTAACTCTTGCACAAGGCTAGGCACATGGTGGATGCTTAACAAATTATCAATGAGTAAATGCTGAACTTTCAGGAATAATGGAAATGTATGGTATCACACACTGTCCTTTGAAATCACCCTCCACCTTGAAAGCTCCAAATAGCCAAAGTTGAGCAGTTTTCGCCTTTACCAAGGCCATAAAGGGCCATAAAGATAAATGCATCCCTCAGCCCTGTGTTGAACTGAGAACTGTGGAAGATAGTCTGAGGTTGAGCAAAGAGCACAGGCTCTCTCTTTTGTCACTTCTGGTTGTGTGACTTTGAGTCTCTCATTTACCTCCATCAGCCTGCTTTTTGATCTTCAAAGAGATGATAATATTACTCCTTCCTAAGGTCATTGTGAGCACTGGACAGAAAATGTAAGTAGAATGTCTGACATGGTGTCTGACAGTTTACAGTCTTGATTAAGTGGTAATTCCCTTCCCACTAACATTTTTTTTCTATTAGCCTTTGTCCTAAGTGAAACCATGACTTAGAACAAACAGTATGCATGAACAAGCAAAGCGGTTACACTTAAACCCAACTAGGCAAAAGAGATTCTTAGAAACAAGAACTTTCTATTCAATGACTAAAGACTAGAAAAGCTTTTATCCAAGGTGTAAAATCCTTTTATATATGCCCTTGAATCTCAGAGATGACTGTAAGTGAAAAAATAGCAAATAGTCCATTTAAGAATGAAAAATGGATTTTTATCATGCCCTTTTAGAACTACTTTTCATCCCAAGGGGGAAAACAGGAAATGGCACTTAGTTAATAGTAAAATATGCATCCACCCCAATTTCCTCTTTACAACTTAGTTGTGACATAACTTTGGAAATTTCCTGACCATTGGTGGGGAGAAAAAGCTGGCTATTTCTTTTTGGATTCAGTGGTCTTCATCATATTCAGAGTTGTACAATCATCAGCACTATCTAATTTTAGGACATTTCATTACCCCTGAAAGAAACTCCATACCCGTTAGTAGTAGTCACTTCCCATTCTCTTCTGCCAGCCCTTGACAACCACTAATATATTTTCTGCCTCTGTGGATTGACCTATTCTAAACATTTAACACAAGTGCAATCATATAATATG